TTATGAACGGAAATGATGATGTGACGTCACGATAAATTTTATTTTGGCACGTCAATTTGTCGTACCTTTGCAAGACGACGGATTTCCTCTTTTGTCGCCACATCGTCGGATATTGTTTTCATTCGATTCTTAAATAATTTTAATCAATACTAAACGTTCGTTTTCTTTTTTTTTTTTTTCGAATATTAAAAATTTTTATGTACGAAACACGTCGTTAATAAAACATTATTAAAAAATAATCCATAGAGTAAATAAACAACGATAAATAATTATTATTATTTTTTTTAAATATATAATTAAAAAGGTAAAATTCAAAACGCATGAACATGTAAAAAAAAAAACCGAAAAATTTTACAAATTTATACGCATTTTTTTTTTTTTTTTTTTACCAAACGTGTACATAATACTCGTACATGGGAAGACATATTGGAAAATGTTTAAAAATATTAATAATAATAATAATTTAACAAAAAACGATAAAAAAATTTTGTTTTTATTAAGTGTTTACAATTTGACGATTCAAGAACATGTCAATCGTCTATATAATTAATTAATTGTGTTCATTATCATTATTGGTTGCATGTTAATAAATGAAAATAAAAAAAAAAATTTTATACTCAAAATAATATATATATAAATTTATATATATATTAATTAACCATTTTTCGACATGATTTTATTATACATATGTGATTTAAAAAAAAAAATTATTTATTTATTTATATTGAGTGTGTGTATATATATATATATATTTTTTTTGAGTTTGTCTTTAGAAAAATTGTGTGTGTAAAACGGAACATTTGAAGACAGTTTCCGTGTGTGTTTTTATTTCCGGAAATAAAAAATATAATAAAAATATATATAACTTCTCGTCCTCATCATACCGGATGATGACAATTATGGTGAGTTTATAATTAAATTAATTTATTTTAATTATATGTAATAATAATTTATGCGCTTTATCGTCAAATTTTTTGCTTTTTATATGTTGTTTAACTGATTTTTAAAATATTTTTTAAAGATGGAGATATATTCTTTGATTTAAACGTAAAAAAAAAAAAAAATCAGTTTTGATAATTGAAACAACGTAAAAAAATTTTTTTTTTAAAATAACATTTAAGTTTTTCCGATGGAAAAACTTGAAAAAAAAAAAAAAAACTGTAAAAATAGAAAATTTTAATCGGTTTTAATACTTTTAAATTGTTAAGCTTTTTTTTTTCTTTCTAAAATTAAAAAAAAAAAAAAAAAGTTTAAAAGTAGAGGGATAAAATGGTTTAGTTGAAATCAATTTTTTTTGTTTTTATCGTTATAAAATTAAATAATAATTTTTTTTAAAGTGAAAACTGTTGGAAATCTTTAAAAAAAAAAAAAAAATGAGAAAATGGCATTAAAAGAATTTTTATATATAATAAACCGATAGCCAAAAAAGAAAATGGATGAAGATGAAAATTATCAAAGTTGACATTTAGTTAATAGAAAAATTCAATGGAGTCATATGGTTATGGATTCCCACTTGGGGGCTCTATTTTCTCGTGGGGTACCCCCGGGAACTTTCCCCCGTAAAAAAAAAAAAAAAAAAAAACAAAACATGTAAATATTAAATGAAAGTAACTAGTCGGATTTTTATCATTTCTTAAATATTTTCTTTTAAAAATTTTACTTTAATATCTTTTATCTCTCTCTCTTCCTCTCCCTCTCTCTCTTTTGTAATGATAAAAAATAAATTTAATTTGTAATATAAAATTTTTTTTTATTAATTAAAATTAATAAAAGCTTAATAAGTCAATAATTTTCTCAATAAGCTTAACGTACAATAAATTAAAACTACCTCCAAAATTATTATTATTATTATTTATTTATATTAACATAATTAAAATAATTAATTATGAATTTTTTAGAAAAAAAAATTTAAAACTGATTTTTTTTTTTTTTACGTTTATGAAATTTTCCCGCTTTTTCTATCATTTTAAAAAGCGCAATTATTATTATTATTTTTTTTTTTGTTGGGGATCGTTAAAAATTAATTAAATAATCGTCGTCGTTATTATTATTATTAACTTTTTTATTGTTTTTTTTTTTTTCTTTTTTTTTATTTTTATTTTAATTACAGATAATTCAATGGAACAAAATGGAGAAAATGATTCAAGTCAAGAAAATATTTATCCACCACCGGGAACTTATATCGACTCTCGAGGAAATGAAATTTATTTTGGAACGGAACCGGAATTTCGTAGTTTTTGGGTTTTTTTCCCCGACATAATGAACGCGGTTTCAACCGTTTATAAAATGATTAAAAATCATAGGAAAACCATCGATTTTTTATCCAATCAAGATAAAGATTCCGGAAAAGAAAAAGATGCCGGTTTAGATTCCATCGGAGGGGGTCATTTATTAAAAAGAATTTCCGCATTAGATCCCATCGGTGGGGGTCACCTTTTGAAAAGAGCACCCATGATCGACGGAATCGGTGGCGGACATCTTTTAAAAAGAGGAAGAAACGATTTTAAAGAATTTTTAATGCAGGGAAACACAATGAAAAGACGACCAGTTTTGGATTCAATCGGTGGGGGCCACCTTTTGAAAAGATTTGCGGATTTTAAACAGTCATACCCCATGAAACGGGAAGATGATACGAATAAAAAATTACAAGATGATTTATGAAATGATAATAATAATAATAATGAAAATTTTCAAACAAATTAGTCGTTAAATTATGAATATAAATTATTATTAATATACGTATAAAAAAATTTTAGCAATTAATTTAAAACGAAGGAAAAATTTTATGACACCTAAATTGAAAAACTTTATCGACAAATATATAAATTATTTTTTTAAACACCTCAAAGCCACCCCCTCCCCCCCTTAGAAAAAAAATAAAATAATAATAATATTAATGCATCGAAATGCATATTTAGATATTTTTTTAATATATAAAATTTATCGATGTAGAAAAAAAAAAAAAACATAAATAAATAAATAAAAACACATAAAATTCATAAATACAAAAGAATCGACGTGGAGAGAATGAGGTTTTTTTTTTTTTTTTTTTTTTTTTTTTCTAGAACCACGTTTATTTGAATTTTTATGTTTGAGATTCTCTCATTTTACGGTCAATGAATGAAATATGGCTCCGTACTGACTCGTTTTCAACTTAAATTTAATGAAAAGTTTTGAGTTTTATTACCGTAAATAATATTAATTTTTTTTTTTTTTATTATTAAGTTAACATTTGGTTTGTTTAAAATAATAATAATAATAATCATAATATTGTTATTATTATTATTGTTTTTTTAATACGTTTCTTACGTAAAAAAAAACTGTTTATACGTTTGAATTGATAAAAAAAGAAAGGTTTCGTTAAAAAAGAATTTAAGAAGTCTTATAAAAACTTTTAAAAAAAAGTAATTTTCAATATCGATTGCATCACCTTATTAATAATCAATCAATCA